AATTATGCTGGTTTTATTTAATGAATCTAAATTAATTAGATCTAATAGTATGATATATGACTGGATAAATCACTGTCAGATTTCAATATATAGAAAAATATTCACTGATTATTATCACGCATGTTACATATTACTATTATTTTGTCACAATAAATTATATCTATTTTTATAACAAATTGTGATTTTATTTGTATGGAATACATTTCACTTACATGATAACGATCTCTAAGATCTAAGAGAATTGAAATAGTGGGCAATTCTCAACTGTGTATATTATCATCCCATAAATATCCCCACAATGTATAATATGTCACATTGTGTGTACATGTGGGACTGCTTGTGGTATTGTGTGGCTGTGTGTATTGTGTGTACATGTGGGGCTGCTTGTGGTATTGTGTGGCTGTGTGTGTATGATATGTCACATTGTGTGTACATGTGGGACTGCTTGTGGTATTGTGTGGCTGTGTGTGTATGATATGTCACATTGTATGTACATGTGGGACTGCTTGTGGTATTGTGTGGCTGTGTGTGTATGATATGTCACAGTGTGTGTTGATGTGGGGCTGCTTGTGGTATTGTGTGGCTGTGTATGTATGATATGTCACATTGTGTGTACATGTGGGACTGCTTGTGGTATTGTGTGGCTGTGTGTGGATGATATGTCACAGTGTGTGTACATGTGGGGCTGCTTGTGTATATGTCACATTGCGTGTACATGTGGGGCTGCTTGTGGTGTGTGGCTGTGTGTGTGTATGATATGTCACATTGTGTTATTTGTATGAGGGGAGGTTTATTCTGCAGCTCTGCGTATATCGGTTTAGGTGGCTTACAGTGCGGACCGGGTCTGGCAGCCTTGTCCTATAGGCTTACCTAACACTACATGAACTATGACTAAAAAGTAAAAATGAAGGGAAAAAAAATCTTTGCAATTTATGCTTGTAATGAATTTCACAAATTCAAAGAAAAAGACATTCAATAAATTCATGTATCAGTCCTGATTATTATATGCCTCATATGTCTAGAATCTAAATTTATTTTCGGTAGTTAAAGGACCACTATATACTCGTTTTCCTGGCACTATAGTGCCCTCAGGGACCCCCTCCCGCCTGGCTCTGGAAAGGGGTAAAAATGTACCTTTTTCCAGCGCTGGGCGGGGAGCTCTCCTCCTCTTCTCCTCCCCGTCGGCTGAATGCACGCGCAGCTCTTGCCGCGCGTGCGCATTCAGCCGGTCACATAGGAAAGCATTCATAATGCTTTCCTAAGGACGCTGGCGTGCTCTCACTGTGAAAATCACAGTGAGAAGCACGCAAGCGCCTCTAGCGGCTGTCAATGAGACAGCCGCTAGAGGAAATAGGGGAAGGCTTAACCCATTCATAAACATAGCAGCTTCTCTGAAACTGCTAAGTTCATGAAAACATGGGTTAACCCTAGCTGGACCAGGCACCCAGACCACTTCATTAAGCTGAAGTGGTCTGGGTGCCTAGAGTGGTCCTTTAACACTAACCATACCCCTAACTATGTTTACAGTAACTCTAACCGTACACCTACCCTAACATTAATCCGACACCAACGCTAACCTTAAAACAACATTAACCCTTACTCAGAGGGAACTTTCCCAGCTCACACAGTGCACAGCGTTCAGTGAGCACCTTCTGCTCCGTAACTGCAGCACGAGAGGGAGATCCTGCCTGCGGTCTCTGCTAATCTCACGGTGATCAGTACTGGGCAGCTGGCAAAGCTCAGATCTGATCACATTTGGCAGGGGGCATTTGGGGAGACCCTGTCAGGGTCTTTTATAGCCCTGGAGATCATCCTCAGACTGTGAGCAGGTTGAGAATCAATGCGGCTGAGTCATGCTTATTTAAAGGGCTCTATGCAGCACTCACTTTGAGCCCTGCATACAGCCTACTGGTCAGTCTGAGGCCAGGAAATATGGTCTGAGTGGAAAGAGACTACGCCCAGGTACTGACTGACAACCAAGGCTCCTGGTGTGAGCAGGGCTTTAGCAACGCTCACATCAAAATATTAGAACTTTCCATACGGTCCTGTCTTTGAAGCCCAGTCTGTGGAGGATGGCAAGGAACATCCGAACAGCAGGAGAGGGTGAGTAGTAATAAAAGAAAGCATAAATAGGGAGTAATGTAGACAACACAGGGTGGAGTCAGAATTTTGAAAGGCCTCATCAACACTGAACTTGAGCATTTTTAACACAGAAACTTTAAAGAACTAAAAAAAAAATATTCAGATATATCAACATATAAATGTCCCAAAATATGTTCTTACTCCGCACCATGTGTATGATAGATCTTAAAACAGTTGCCAATGCAAAGGCCAGGCTGAGAGGGGCAGTCAGGGCAATAGAAACTTGTGTCGGTTCTTATGCCCTTCCGGTAGCACACCCTGCATCTTTTCTGTGGGGATCTTTTTTTGAGCGTCGGAGGAATACGAAAACAATAGTGAACCGCCCCAGTTCTTGTACATTCCTGATCAACAGTTCGACCTTCACGGCGATACCCGGTCAGCTGCCCTGAAATTAGATTAAGTTGGTGGGTTAAAAATGTCCAGCTCACTTTAAAGTTTGCTTTTTGTACAAAAGGAATGCATCATGTGTTTCCATTTGCATTAGATAAATTCCCACCTTCTTGTACCATGCATGGGGTTCTCTCATTATTGGGTACAGCTGCCACAGTTGGTCAGACAGGTCTACTCCCCCCATGTGCCTGTTGTGCTGCTGAATACAGACTGAAACCCTTGGCTTCCCGTTGGGCTCAGACTGCGACCCTGCGAGTATAATCATCATGGATGATAATTTGAACAAACACCCCATTCTTTATATTTCACTGCCAGCAGTTCTTCTCGGTGGAGAGCAGCTGTTCCCACCCTTTTTAATTTTTTTAACCAGCATCTGTGGGAAACCCATACTTATCTTTCTTACAGTTCCACGGGCCATAATTGCTAGTATAATAATTGTCTATGTACTTGTGGTACCCCTTGTTTAATAATCTCACAGACAATGTTCCATCTGTCCTTATAATGTCTGGGCAACCTGGTAGATCATGGTGACTGTCCTTTCCCTCATACACATGGATGGAGCAGATGTATTCATTGCCACAATATATGTGAATATAGCGGCCCCAATTGCTTACATTTTCCCCTACCTAATTCTACAATCAATATCCCATAATGACAACGCAAATACAAAGATCTTAAAAACGTTGCAAGTTTACTTAAGAAAACCCCCACAAAAACACAAACATCACATTGACACAAGTATTCAGACCCTTTACTATGACCCTTCAAATTTAGGTCAGAAGCATCCTATTTCTCTGGATCATTTTTTGATTGGGGTACAACTGTTTAATTCAATTGATTAAACATGATCTGAAAAAGGCCTAGAACTGTCTATATAAGGTCTCAGCTGTTAATGCACATCAGAGCAAAAACCAAGCCAAGAGGTCCATGAAAATACCTTCTGAGCTCAGAGACAGGATTCAGTTGAGACAGATCTGGGAAAGGCTACAAAAAAATGGCTGCATGGAAGCTTCCCAAAAGCACAGTTGCCTCCATAATTCTTAAATGTAAGAAGTTTGGAGGAACCAGCATTCTTCCTAGAGCTTGCCGCCTAGCCAGTCTGAGCAATCCGGGATAAAGGGCCCGCGGTAAGAGATGACCAAGAATCCGATACTCACTCTGGGTGAGCTCCTAAGATCATGTGTGGAGAAGGGAGAAATCTGCAGAAAAACAACCATCGCCAAAACACTTGACTGATCTAGACTTTATGGCAGACTGGCCAGACGTTAGCCTCTCCTCACATGAAAGCCCCTAAAAGGACTGTCAGACTGTGATAAATAGGATTTTTAAGTCTGATGAACCAAAGATTGAACTGCTTCAACTCAATTCAAAAAGTGTTAAATCTGGAGGAAGCCAATCACTGCTCTTCATCTGCACAATACCATCCCAACGGTGAAGCAGGATGGGGTTTGCATCATGCTATTCAGTGGCAGCAACAGGGATCAAAGAAAGCTTAAAGGACAACTATAGTCACCCAGACCACTTCAGCTCAATGAAGTGGTCAGGGTGCCAGGTCCCTCTAGGGTTAACCCTGCAGCTGAAAACAAAGCAGTTTCATAGAAACTGCTATGTTTACACTGAGGGTTAATCCAGCCTCTAGTGGCTGTCTCACTGACAGCCACTAGAGGCGCTTCTGCGATTCTCACTGTGAAAATCACAATGAAAAGACGCTGGACATCCATAGGAAAGCATTGCTTTCCTATGGGCGGTTTGAATGCACATTTGGAGCGGACGGCGGCAGGAGGAGGAGAGAGGTCACCAGCACTGAAGCAGCCCGGCGCTGGAGAAAGGTAAATGGCTGAAGGATTTTAACCCATTCAGCCCAGCAGGAGGGGGGGCCCTGAGGGTGGGGGGGACACCTAATAACCCTATAGTGCCAGGAAAACAAATTTGTTTTCCTGGCACTATAGTGGTCTTTTAATACAGCAAAATAAATTATACGTGATATAAACCTTGCTCAGAGTGTCCAGGCCATCAGATAGGGCAAAAATGTCACGTTCTAACAGGACACAGCCAAGTGGCCTAGGGACAACTCTGTGAATGCCCTTGAGCTGCTCAACAAGAGCTCAGACTTGAACTCAATCAAACATCTCTAGAGAGACCTGAATATGGCTGTTCACTGACGGTCCCCATCTGACCTGACAGAGGATCTCCATAGATAAATAGGACTACCTAAATCCTGGTGTACAAAGATTGTCACATCATACCCCAAAAAAGAGGCTGTAAAAGTACTTCGACTAAATACTGAATAAAGGGTATGAATACTTTAAAAAAAATAAAAAAATTTAAGTTTCCATTTCATATATTTGAAAATGTGTCATAACCCTGTTTGCCATCATTATGGGGTATTAAGTGTAAATTGATGTGGAATAAAAAATAATAATTTAAACAATTGCAGCATTAGACCACAATTAATACAGGTGAAAAAATTAAGAGGGGTCTAGAGAAAAAGAGATTACCGAGATTACACACACTCAGATTAGAGAGACCGAGATTACACACACTCAAAATATTGTGCCCTACAATATTGGCCAGATCAAAATGTTACTCACCACTGTAACCATCTCTTGGAATGCAATCACTGGGCATTGTGAGCACAGACTCTGGCAGCATTAGACAGTTCCTGGTATGTAGGTGCCTGTTGATTCTATATTTGTAGTCTTTACTGCTATGCTAATGACAATAGCTAAGGAAGTCCAACATTCACCGGATATACTTCACCACTACTCGTTTAGTAAATCACAACCTTAATTTTCTTGTATGATAGTACAGCCAATGATATGCAGTATTAAATCTACCCCAATAAATCTGCAGCTATGGCAGTCTACATCGTTTGCGGTATTATTCACTTTATAAATCCCGCAATTACAAAATATACCCAAGTACAAGGCAAACACTGCTGAAGCCTTAATTGTTTGCGTTACAGCATAGGAAAGAAACATGCCCATCTCATTCCAGGATTAACCAATACAGAAATACTACCGTAATACAGAGACAAACTCATGTGCTAAATAAACGGCTAATACTTCCACAATTCCAGCTGGGGGTGCATCAGCTAAAACAATTAAAATCAGTCAAATTTAAATATAAATAATATGAAACCCAAAAACCTCAAACATATCATCTCTGATGGGAGATTCATTTTATGAATAAAGCCAAAATCCATGATTATTGTACGATAACATACTGTAACAGCACTATTTGTTAACCCACACACTGCAGGTAAATTTAACAAAAAAACCTTCAAAAATATACAATGCAATACAATGGTTAAAATTCCATTCACAGAGTTTGAAGTTAAAACACTGCACACAAATTCCTTCGTCCAAGGAACACTTGTAAAAGCGGAAGTGGTCATGGAGGCTGGAGTAACCCTCGAAAGAACCCTACACTTCTGCTAATAAATGATGATAATATAGCATTAACAATCCTGAAAAATAGCAAAAACAAATGAAACTAAATAAGTTGAAAGCAAAATATACACACATTTTAAATAAAATAACAGTCCACAAAGCAAACAACGTCTGACAATACAACCTGTGCACAACCTAGACTAAAATGGAATAATGACCACGCTTAGACTGTGGATATTTAAACTGAAAAAAAATTATAAAACACAGCACTTGTTTTTGCCCCCATTTTTCATGAGCTGAACTCAAAGATCTAAGACTTTTTCTATGTACACAAAAGGCCTATTTCTCTCAAATATTGTTCACAAATCTGCCTAAATCTGTGTTAGTGAGCACTTCTCCTTTGCCGAGATAATCCATCCACCTCACAGGTGTGGCATATCAAAATGCTGATTAGACGGCATGATTATTGCACAGGTGTGCCTTAGGCTGGCCACAATAAAAGGCCACTCTAAAATGTGCAGTTTTATCACACAGATATCACAAGTTTTGAGGGAGCGTGCAATTGGCATGCTGAGTGCAGGAATGTCCACCAGAGCTGTTGCCCATGAATTGAATGTTAATTTCTCTACCATAAGCCGTCTCCAAAGGCGTTTCAGAGAATTTGGCAGTACATCTAACCGGCCTCACAACCACAGATCATGTGTAACCACACTAGCCCAGGACCTTCACATGCAGCATCTTCACCTCTAAGATTGCCTGAGACCAGACACCTGCTGCAACAATCAGTGTGGCCCATGGTGGCAGTGGGGTTATGGTACGGGCAAGCGTATGTTATGGAAAACGAACACAGGTGCATTTTGAATGCACAGAGATACCATGACGAGATCCTGAGACCCGTTGTGCCATTCATCCACGACCATCACCTCATGTTGCAGCATGATAATGCATAGCCATATGTTGCAAGAATCTGTACACAATGCCTGGAAGCTGAAAACTTCCCAGTTCTTGCATGGCTCACACATTGAGCATGTTTGGGATGCTCTGGATCGGCGTATACAACAGCGTGTTTCAGGTCCTGCGAATATCCAGCAACTTTGCACAGCCATTGAAAAGGAGTGGACCAACATTCCACAGGCCACAATCAACAACCTGATCAACTCTATGTGAAGGATATGTGTTGCACTGCGTGAGGCAAATGGTGGTCACACCAGATACTGAATGGTTTAGGACCCCCCAATACAGTAAAACTGCACATTTTAGAGTGGCCTTTTATTGTGGCCAGCCTAAGGCACACCTGTGCAATAATCATGCTGTCTAATCAGCATCTTGATATGCCACACCTGTGAGGTGGATCTCAGCAAAGGAGAAGTGCTCACTAACACAGATTTAGACAGATTTGTGAACAATATTTGAGAGAAATAGGCCTTTTGTGTATATAGAAAAAGTCTTAGATCTTTGGGTTCAGCTCATGAAAAATGGGGGCAAAAACAAAAGTGTTGCGTTTATAATTTTGTTCAGTGCACAAAGAATGGAAATCTGAGTATAGTAGAGTAAAAATAAGAACACCCACTAAATCTAAAAGCATGTACACCACAATACAAGAATATTAAAAGGGACACTCCGGACCTCTAAGCACTTTAGCTTGCTGAAACGTTTTCTGTGTGAAGAGTGCACCCTCTTTTTCATTTTATAAAATGTACAGATTTCACTAGAAATTGACACGTTTATAAAATGAACCTGGTAATGTTCCCCTGGCTTTTAATCAGACAAGATGTCCTGTTACTTCCTGGTTTGTTTAGCTCAGTGGAGCCAAACTCAAGATGCAGCAATTGCCCAGAGCACCTGCCTTGCAAAGACTTCTCACAAAGCTAAAACACTGCACACAAATTCCTGAGAGTCTGTGATTGGACAGATACAGAAAGTCTCGGTGGGGTTAAAAGGGGAGGGATTGCAAAGGCAACTTCTAAAAGGTTGTTTTTAGATATACCCCAATGCTAGAATGCATGCACGTTTTCATTTGGCATATATCTACTAAACCGTGATTTTTATTTATTTTGTATTTTGGCAGTGAAGTGTTCCTTAATATAGACGGAAGATGTCCCACTCCATATTCAGTCCAAGAGGTGCAGTGGTCTCCATTGTAAAGATCAAGAAAATTTCCCTCTTCGAAAGAATGTGGGGCAGGTCACCCTCCACCAAGGGTGTATTACTTCACTATACCGTGAAATGAAAAGCTATGCATCTTTCCAATGTACTCCTCTACATTGTCCACTAGCGTATGCATAATTAACTCGGAGCGTTGAAAACAGTCCAATGAAAAGCTTCGCTGGGACGCATTTGATCGCACCACGGAGTGACGTGGAATGAATCAATACAGTGTGCGAAAACAAGGATTACCGGCCGTAGATTGAAGGTAAGTTTTATTCGAGTATTTTATCCCTTTGTATATTTTGGATTTACTTTGCATTTTATATATGGTTATATGTGTCTGCAGTGTGTCCCTCTTGTGCAGTTGAGGAGTGTGGGAAACAATTAGTGCCATGATAGGAGATTAATCCTATGCAAATTATTGAGTAGTTAGACGGAATAAATGTGGATTTTGACCATTTGTTTGCACATATTTAATCTCCTGTCGGAGACGATATTTTGGAGGTTTTGGGTTTAATGTTTTGTATAGGTTACATTTTATTTTTAATGCTAATGCACCCCCTGAAAAAAGAAACAATTTCTACACAAATCTGCAATTAACTGAAAATGTTTATTATGTAATGATTTTTTTGTAAATCTTTCTTTTATTGCGTGATAAATGCACAAAATATACATGCCAGTACGATTTTTTTATGTTTTTAAGAATATTCATGTGTATAGTGGATGCAGTGTGTTTGTTTTTGGATTCTGTGGGCTAAAAGAGTTTTTTTATTTTTAAAAACATCTTATATAAAACTTTTATATTTAATAAATAATTTTAAAAAAAATATTGTCATTTTATTCCTCCCTCTCTGCCTTTTACCTGTGGCCAAGGAGGGGGACATTACACTCCCTGGTGGTCCAGTGGCTGAGGGGTCTGTGATTTTCGTTGGTTTGAAGAGGTGTCCTGCGTGAGTATATTTATTAGTACATAAATAATGATGGCCTCCTTGAGGTGGTTGTCTGAGTGTTCTGTATCCAAGACACAGTTCTGGAAGCCACATGCTTGCTACACCTATTAGTGCTGCCCGAACCAAGTATGGTGATTGGTTACGGACAAATCCCCTGAGTGCCACTCACATTGAAGAGGGAGTGGCTGGGGCCCAGCACAAGCTGTTCTCAGCTTATGGCTGGGGGGCTCGCGAGAGTTGGAGAAAGGACCTGTCGGAAACAGAAGATGGCGTGTGCTGAGCCCCAGCCAACCCCTCTTCAATGTGAGTCACACCCGGGATGGACCACCCACTCCCCCCCACTGGTATTGGCAAAACTGTCAATTAAACCCATACCGATTACTGCAAAATATCAATTCAGTCAATCCCAAATACATGGCTATATTTTGACTGGGGCTGTATTTCTTTTTGTGGTCTAAGTGCATAATGGCACAAAACGTGTAGACTGCAGCACAACGATCTGAGCTGAATTTATACTGCATGTCATTGGCTTGATTTGCCATCATACAAGAAAATAAAGGTTGTGGTTTACTAAAACAAGAAGTGGTAAAGTCTCCCCATTGAACACTTTGACTTTCTATTTGTTTCAAAGAGCACTGAAGATCTTTATAGGCAGTGGGAAAATCCATCAAATATTTGCCAGGGATACATTTCTGCTTGCAATGGCTAAAGGGTAAGGGGACTTTTTTAAAATGTGTTTTATAGCCCCTCAAAATTATGGTTGTGTGAATGCAACAGAGATCTGGATTAGATTCAGCCAAACCCAGCTTCATTGACGTTTAGATTTGTGAGTCTGGACATTTGTGGCCTTGAAAGGACGTAAAAACACAGAAAACAAATATAATCGATGGCTTTGCTTAATTCCATCCACCATTAGACCCAACCATATTTACAACTAAAATGGTCTTTACAAGGCTTGACAAAGTTCTTTTCAGACTTAAAATGCTAGGTCCACTTGTGAAGGGAATTAAAAAGTCCGAAAGCATAACTGGAGCAGTGTTTGTTTTTATCCCTCATATTAAGGAATGTAAAATAGAGCAACCATCCTTTATACTTGGACCACATTCACTGCTTTCTAAATGTACCTATAGATGTACTGAGCAAACAATGATGGTTTTATGGAAAGCAGGTCATCTTGTGTGACTCATCTGATGTACATAAAGACTCGCTTTATCTGTAAAGCGATTTCCACATTCAGAGCACGAGAAACATTTATTTCCAGTGTGACTTCTCATATGTTTATGATAACTTGACAACCACCTGAAACATCTTCCACATTCGCAACACGAGAATGGTTTCTCACCAGTGTGAAGTCTCTGATGTCTAGTAAGAGCAGACTTGCGAGTGAAACATTTCCCACATTCACAACATGGAAACGGTTTCTCACCTGTGTGAATCCTCTGATGTCTAATTAAACTTGATATCCAATTGAAGCATTTTCCACAATGAGAACAAGTGTAATTATTATTTTTTTCGTGGCTCCTCATGTGTTTGCTAAGATTTGACATCTTACTGAAACATTTGCCACATTCTGTACAGGAAAATTTCTTGTCACTTGTATGACTCAATTGATGTCTACCAAGAGCTTTCTCGTGATTAAAACGAGCTCCACATTCCAAGCAAGAAAATGGCTTCTCTCCAGTGTGAATACTGTGGTTCAATTTAGGAGTTCCTCTCTCTTTAACACATTGATGCCCAACAAAATCTGCTTTAGAGATTTTCTTCCCGCAACCAAAACAAGTCATATCCTGTATTCCACCTGAATGAGTAGCTGAAACCTCAGGCCCCTGAAACAAGCTATAAACATCTGTCACATGCATACTTTCATTGCTTATTTTTAGGTTTTGCATCTCAGTACGAAAAAGAAGAGGTTCGATGCCAGTGCTTGTGAAGTTTCCTAGCTCATATGAAATAGATTCTTCCTTAATATGGCTAGATAGATATTCTGTCCGTGTATGAAAACCAGTGGCAACTCGTTCATGGGAATCGGATTCCTGCTTAATATAAGTAGATGGATATTCTGTCTGTGTATGTTCTGGGAGTTTAGAAATGCCGGTGAAATTTCCTTCTTCGTGTGAAACAGATTCTACCTTAATATTAGTAGACAGATATTCTGTCGGTGTATGTTCTATGTTTGTATAAATGTCAGTGTCTGGCAAATGTCCTTTTTCAAATGAAGTGGATTCCTCCATAATAGCAGTGGATGGATAGTCTGTCTGTGTATGGTCTTTGGAAGTATGGAAGTCAATATCTTCATGTGGAGACAAATTGTCCTTAACACGAGGAGATGGACATTCTGTCTCTGTGAGTTGGATGGATGTACAAACATTGACAAGATTATCTTGTTGGCATGAACCCAATTCTTCTTTGACAGAAATAGACCTGTAGTCTATTGTAGGCGTGGGGTTCGTATAAACGTCAGCTTCTGCAACATGCCTTTCTTCGCAAGGTCCTGCTTCCTGTTCAACAAATGCACTCTCTCCCGTGCTCGATTTATTCATTTTCTCACCATTCACTCCTTGCTTAATTGTGAAATTAGGATCAATGATTACGTCCTTTGATGAAGTAATATGGGACTGACACTCTACTGCTTCAGTTTTGTTCAGTGAATTATCTAATGAAAAGAAACAAGTAGAGAGGTAGAAAAGGTTCTTAACAGTCAGCTGATACAGCCGCTACAGAAACAATAAGATATTGATCAGTGTATTATTTTGTTGTTATAACTTACTTACATGCAATTATTGTACAGATATCCTCCTGTTCACTAGTAAAAAGATGCAAGAATATACATACAGCTATAAGAACTGCTCTACACACAAAGGCAGGTCTTATTAAATCTTCTTACCTTGCGAAATGAAAGGCATCTGTCCTTCTAAATACTTCCACACCTACAAGGAAAATAAACAAACAGTGACATCCTCATGCCAACAGGAACCTGACACACACAATGATACAGTCACCATCCTCACACCTAACAGGAACCTGGCACACACAATGATACAGTCACCATCCAGTCACATCCTCACACCTAACAGGAACCTGGCACACACAATGATACAGTCACCATCCAGACACATCCTCACACCTAACAGGAACCTGGCACACACAATGATACAGTCACCATCCAGACACATCCTCACACCTAACAGGAACCTGGCACACACAATGATACAGTCACCATCCAGTCACATCCTCACACCTAACAGGACCCTGGCACACACAATGATACAGTAACCATCCAGACACATCCTCACACCTAACATGAACCTGGCACACACAATGATACAGTCACCATCCAGACACATCCTCACACCTAACAGGAACCTGGCACACACAATGATACAGTCACTACCCAGTCACATCCTCACACCTAACAGGAACCTGACACACAATGATACAGTCACTACCCAGTCACATCCTCACATCTAACAGGAACCTGGCACACACAATGATACAGTCACCATCCAGACACATCCTCACATCTAACAGGAACCTGGCACACACAACGATACAGTCACCATCCAGACACATCCCTTGGTTTTACTCTATGATGTCCCATTCCCAGCAGTCTCACCTCTCCAGTCAGCAGGTGGATGATCTGATTGGTCAGTTTCAGGACCTTCTGCTCATTGTTTCTCTCATGTATCAGTGAGTGAGGGGGAGGCACCATGCTGGAGCTCTGGGTCCTGTTAGATCCATCTGACACACGAGGACTATGGCTCTGTAGTATAGACTCAGCAGGTCTCTTCACAGCAATGTAGTCCTACATATTGAGTTAGAGTTACATATACAAAAAAAGTAACAAAAACACAAATTGCAACAATATTTATGACTTAATAAAAATTCCCTGCTTTTTATGTTTACAGACACTCAGTCATATTTACCTCTCCTTCTACTCCACAAAAGATAAAAATGTGACATCTTAGTTGAGCTATATGTCTACTCCAAGCATCATAACAACAACAGCCTTATTGCGGTTTCCTGGTAAGAAGCTAAATAGTTTTTCAACCGGTTTCCCTCACGCCGCGGGTCCTCTTTGGTTGGTGTCATACATTTGAATTATGAAGAGGCGCAGAAGTCCGATTCCGGACACATAGAAGGTTGGTGCCTCTGCCTCGTATGAAACACAGTTTGGAGGCGTAGGCTCTTGACACCCCTGGTGCTTGTGGCTTGATTACGTTATTAGAATAACCAAACAAATCACTTTCACAATCCTGACAACAAACATGCAAGCTTTTATAAATTCTGTTCAACTATTACCAAGAACTTGTTACCAGAGGAAAAATAGCTTAATATTAGGCAAAAAAATAAAATCGAAGAACAAAAAATAAAAATAAATGAGGAACAAAATAATCAGTTACTCCTTATCGCAAACCTCGATTTCATTATAAAGACATACGACTAGGGTGCGGGCAATGCAGCCATGCTGCTGCATGGAAGCAACGTCTGTGAGATCAGTAGCTTTTCTAGTAGCCCAGTCTCCATTCCCCAGCGGCAGGCTGAGTTACAGGGGGCAGAGACGGTCGGTCCTTCTCCCCAACAGCAGTGTGTGTTACAGGGCATAGAGCCCAGTCTCCATTCCCCAGCGGCAGGCTGAGTTACAGGGGGCAGAGACGGTCGGTCCTTCTCCCCAACAGCAGTGTGTGTTACAGGGCATAGAGAGCCCAGTCTCCATTCCCCAGCGGCAGGCTGAGTTACAGAGGGCAGAGACGGTCGGTCCTGCTCCCCAACAGCAGTGTGTGTTACAGGGCATAGAGAGCCCAGTCTCCATTCCCCAGCGGCAGACTGAGTTACAGGGGGCAGAGACGGTCGGTCCTGCTCCCCAACAGCAGTGTGTGTTACAGGGCATAGAGAGCCCAGTCTCCATTCCACAGCGGCAGGCTGAGTTACAGAGGGCAGAGACGGTCGGTCCTGCTCCCCAACAGCAGTGTGTGTTACAGGGCATAGAGAGCCCATTCTCCATTCCCCAGCGGCAGGCTGAGTTACAGGGGGCAGAGACGGTCGGTCCTTCTCCCCAACAGCAGTGTGTGTTACAGGGCATAGAGAGCCCAGTCTCCATTCCCCAGCGACAGGCTGAGTTACAGGGGGCAGAGACGGTCGGTCCTGCTCCCCAACAGCAGTGTGTGTTACAGGGCATAGAGAGCCCAGTCTCCATTCCACAGCGGCAGGCTGAGTTACAGGGGGCAGAGACGGTCGGTCCTGCTCCCCAACAGCAGTGTGTGTTACAGGGCATAGAGAGCCCAGTCTCCATTCCACAGCGGCAGGCTGAGTTACAGAGGGCAGAGACGGTCGGTCCTGCTCCCCAACAGCAGTGTGTGTTACAGGGCATAGAGAGCCCAGTCTCCATTCCACAGCGGCAGGCTGAGTTACAGGGGGCAGAGACGGTCGGTCCTGCTCCCCAACAGCAGTGTGTGTTACAGGGCATAGAGAGCCCAGTCTCCATTCCCCAGCGGCAGGCTGAGTTACAGAGGGGCAGAGACGGTCGGTCCTGCTCCCCAACAGCAGTGTGTGTTACAGGGCATAGAGAGCCCAGTCTCCATTCCACAGCGGCAGGCTGAGTTACAGAGGGCAGAGACGGTCGGTCCTGCTCCCCAACAGCAGTGTGTGTTACAGGGCATAGAGAGCCCAGTCTCCATTCCACAGCGGCAGGCTGAGTTACAGGGGGCAGAGACGGTCGGTCCTGCTCCCCAACAGCAGTGTGTGTTACAGGGCATAGAGAGCCCAGTCTCCTTTCCCCAGCAGCAGGCTGAGTTACAGAGGGCAGAGACGGTCGGTCCTGCTCCCCAACAGCAGTGTGTGTTACAGGGCATAGAGAGCCCAGTCTCCATTTCCACAGCGGCAGGCTGAGTTACAGAGGAGGCGGTGGTCTGCTCCCAGCAACAGTGTATTACAGGGCATAGAGAGCCCAGTCTCCTTTCCTGAGCAGGATTCTGTATTGGGAAGCGAGGCTGGAAGTATGTATGGGAGAGGAGCTGGTTACCCCCTATCCCCAGCTTAACGCACCAGGGGGAGACAGTAAGTCCCACAACCATGCAGATGGGACCTTACAGCACAGGGCGTAGGGACAGTCAGTCCTGATCCCCAGCAACAGGGCTGTTTAGCCAAAGGGGAGACAGTCGGTCTCCTCCCACAGCAGCATGTTGCTTTGTCCAAAGGGGGGACGATCGGTCTCCCCCTCCAGCAACCAGGCTCCCACCAGGCTACTTCCGTGGTAGTGCTGGCACCTGGTCTCTGCCCACTCAGCAACCCACCAAGGCAGCCTACCAGTCCCCCACACAGCCGTGGTGAGGCACCTGGACATGGACAAGTTTCTCCCTTACTCAGATGTAGTAACCATTTATGGTGGGTGGGCTGTACTGCTGTTTCTGTTTTATGGGTGGGCTGCTGGACTAACCAGGGTACTGACTGGCAGGATGTGCACTGGAGGAGCCTGGTTGCCTGCCTGCTGCCTTTTGACTATGGACCGTCATTTAAATAAGTACTTTATTTTTCTATGCAGAAAGGTCTATTCATGTATTTCTGCCCTGGCGTTCGGTAGATTCTCGGATTTACTGAATGAACGCATTTAACCCAGATAGCTATGCCATGGAGCCTATTCGTGTAATAAAAGACTTTGGCTCCATGGCAATTGAACTGTATGTGTGTGGTCTGAGCGCCATTCAGTAATAATGTGTGCTCAGACCTAAGCTATCTGGGGATATGTTGCATGTCTGTATTTTATGTAAAAATTGTAATCTTGTGTATTTTATTGTATTTACTGTATTTTGCTACCATGTGGCTAATGGAGTTTTGCCTCTGTCTTTAGAGATAATTGGATTACTTCCCAATTATCTCCAGAATAGAAGACTCTGTGGAACTGGTTTTGGGCAGAAAAGCCATGCCTCATTTGATCACAATGGACTTCGATCTATCTTTTGAACCACTTGACCAATTTGTAGAATTTTGAAAATTTCAGTTTTATGTGAATGTGATGCATACTTTTCAAGTTATGAATAATGTGGAAAAACTGTATTTTTCTGCCTGTGATAATTACATTACCCATTGTGTAAGGTAATTGTATCACAGACAGAGGGGAGGATTTTTTGTGGGAGTGTCTGAGTGTATTGTATGTGTTTATTGGTTGTTTTCCAAAACCCTGTGGGTGGTACTAATGTGTAAGAATGTGTATATGAGAACAATAAACCCACAGCTCTGTCTGTTCCTGCTTGACCCTCAAAACGGAGCCTTGTCTCGTTCTTGGGGGGAGATTTATTGTATGCTGTTCCAGTTTGACTGCTAGGAGTGTAAACCTATTCGTATGGTTTTTCCTATTCGGTTGTTTACAGCATTCGTATGTTTGAGAGCATTCGTATGCTTCTCCGGTTCAGTGGATTGGTGTCTACAGTAGCTGCCTGTATATCTGGAAGGGAATATCTCCTAAACGGCGGTTTAACCCTTTTATGCCTGGGGGTGCTGTTACAATACACATATGACTAACTCTAAAAAGGATGAGTGCCTGCATTAGAGCAGAACAAAGATCATGATTATATAAACGTCGTTCTCATACCATGCGTGTATTAGATCGACACTGTCACCCCCCCTGCAAACTGAATATTTCATACACATTAAATATTTATGAAATATTCATATTGACTGAGCTGGAACGTTACTGACCATAAAATGATGGCTGCACCCACATGGGACATGCTCAAGTAAGTTAAACTCACTTTTGCCTGCGCTCCCACCCCTAGACCTCCGGAGGCGATGTCACCAAGCAGTGAAAGTTCTATTTAAATGGGTTATTCTGACATTCCAACCACCATGACCACTGCAGCACATACTGCACGCTGGCAACAGACGTAATTAGCGTCAACATTGCAGCAGTGCAAAGGAAAGCTTTGATCGCTTTAAAAAAAATAAAAAATTACAATCCCATCATTCCCCTTGCTGTCTCAGAAGCCTGTGGTAGGACTATGCAATGATGTTGGTGACATAAAACGGGGAGTGGACATCAGCGCCAAGAGCTTTGCCTGCAGTGGACTACAGGTACATTTTAAAGCGGGAGGGTGATGGAGGGGGGCAACCTAGCCAGGAATGCCCAATAGGGGAATGTCAAGTAAAACAAAAATGAAATATGTTTTTAAAAGAGTTACAGTAACCCTTTAAAAAAAAATGACACCATTAAATTAGTAAAAAAAATAAAAATATAATCTATCCATCTTCCTATAATAGTTTTATTTTATGCGCGTAACATTTCAATAAACACCGAATGTTTTCTGATACTACACTAAATATAATACATTTCTATTAAAAACTCAAAACTATTTTAGCAGATCTGCAAGGTTTTTGCTTTTGAAAGCTCCTGACTGTCTCGTGCGTTGTATGCCTATATCAGTGAAACGACCATGAGTACAAATCGTTTGATCAGGGACGTTCTATCAAAGGATCTCGGTCGTGAGCAGGTTTCCACAAAACTCTGTACTCCATCACATTCCTGATAGAACTGTGGCAGGAGTCCTTTGGATGACGCACCAGAGGATTAGGAAGCAATGAACAAGAACGTTTTAAATCTATCTTAGACTATATTCAACAAACAAATTTGAATATCCGTTCTCTCCAGGGGCATCTTATGACAAACGCTAAATGTGTGTAGTTGCTGTGACATTCCCAGAATCCCTCACCTCTCCAGTCAGCAGGTAATTGACCTCCAGGGTCAGATCCACGATCCTCTCCGTCATCTGATTCCGGTTTGTGTTTGTCATCATTAAGCCAAAAAGGCAGCCTGAGAACAGGCTCTGGGGTTGTGGACTGGAATTCAGTGGTTCTGTAATTGCAGATACATAGTGTATTTCAGTTTTATACAAATCACGTTAAATTAATAGAGAAAGATAGGAACAGTGATTGAAGGAGGTAGGCATCATTACTACTTCAGTGGATTGAAGTGGTTATGGTGCCTGGAGTCGGTGGTTCCTGCATTGCTATTAAATTTATTACTCAACGTTTAGTAGATATTCTTGAACCCCAGCAAATGGCAGGGTTATGCTCTGCCGCAAACCAAGGGCAGCAGTCAGTGACTGGCTGTGAGCGACACCAGAGGATTAACCGTCAATCACTGCCCCAATCTCGGTTACGAACTAGCTCAGCTCTACCTTCACCATATCATCATTGCAAGATTCCCAATGCTGGGAACTGAGAAGTTCTACTAAATAGTAAATAACTTCATAGTGACGCAAAATATCAATCCATAGAAGTGTCACTTTAATTTTACGTGACCCATATATTTACATTAAATTCATTTCACACACACATTATATTTATAGCATAAATAATAGAATAAATTGCTGCAGTTTTACCATTAACTCTGCCATCACATACAAATCCCTCTGCTACCTCTGGTCTCCTCTCCCCAGATTAAGGTTTAGAGTGTAAGCGCACGGGTAGGGCCCTCTACCTGTTGGATCGGTCTGTTCTAATTTGTGTTGTCTTTCCCGACTGTACAGCGCTGCAGAATATGTTAGTGCTTTATAAATGCCAGTAATAATAAATAATAATATGTATGGTTTGTATATTTACCCCCCATACATTATATACACAGTATATACAGGGGGGTGTATATTTACCCCCCCATACATTATATACACAGTATATACAGGGGGTGTATATTTACCCCCATACATTATATACACAGTATATACAGGGGGTGTATATTTACCCCATACATTATATACACAGTATATACAGGGGGTGTATATTTACCCCATACATTATATACACAGTGTATACAGGGGGTGTATATTTACCCCCATACATTATATACACAGTATATACAGGGGGTGTATATTTACCCCATACATTATATACGGTATATACAGGGGGTGTATATTTACCCCATACATTATATACGGTATATACAGGGGTGTATATTTGCACCCACATACACATTATATACACTTGGTATATACAGGGATGTATATTTACCCCAGCATACATTATATCTGTGGTATACAGGGGTGTATATTTACCCCATACATTATATACACGGTATATACAGGGGGTGTATATTTACCCCAATACATTATATACCATGATATATACGGGGTGTATATTTACCCCATACATTATACACCACCGGTATACAGAGGTGTATAATATTTACCCCATACATTATATACACAGTACATACAGGGGGTGTATATTTACCCCATACATTATATACACAGTATATACAGGGGGTGTATATTTACCCCATACATTATATACACAGTATATACAGGGGGTGTATATTTACCCCATACATTATATACACAGTATATACAGGGTGTATATTTACCCCATACATTATATACACAGTATATACAGGGGGTGTATATTTACCCCATACATTATATACACAGTATACACAGGGGGTGTATATTTACCCCCATACATTATATACACAGTATATACAGGGGGTGTATATTTACCCCATACATTATATACACAGTATATACAGGGGTGTATATTTACCCCCATACATTATATACACAGTATATACAGGGGGTGTATATTTACCCCATACATTATATACACAGTATATACAGGGGGGGTATATTTACCCCATACATTATATACACATTATATACAGAGGGTGTATATTTACCCCCATACATTATATACACTGTATATACAGGGGTGTATATTTACCCCCATACATTATATACACAGTATATACAGGGGTGTATATTTACCCCATACATTATATACACAGTATATACAGGGGGTGTATATTTACCCCCATACATTATATACACAGTATATACAGGGGGTGTATATTTACTCCCATACATTATATACACAGTATATACAGGGGGTGTATATTTACCCCATACATTATACACACAGTATATACAGGGGGGTGTATATTTACCCCATACATTATACACAGTATATACAGGGGGTGTATATTTACCCCCATACATTATACACAGTATATACAGGGGGTGTATATTTACCCCCATACATTATATACACAGTATATACAGGGGGTGTATATTTACCCCCATACATTATATACACAGTATATACACGGGGTGTATATTTATCCCCCATACATTATATACACAGTATATACAGGGGGTGTATATTTACCCCATACATTATATACACAGTATATACAGGGGGTGTATATTTACCCCCATACATTATATACACAGTATATACAGGGGGTGTATATTTACCCCACATACATTATATACACAGTATATACAGGGGGTGTATATTTACCCCATACATTATATACACAGTATATACAGGGGGTGTATATTTACCCCATACATTATATATGCAGTATATACAGGGGGGTGTATATTTACCCTGATACATTATATACGCAGTATATACAGGGGGGTGTATATTTACCCCCATACATTATACACACAGTATATACAGGGGGTGTATATTTACCCCCATACATTATACACACAGTATATACAGGGGGAGTATATTTACCCCCATACATTATATACAGGGGGTGTATATTTACCCCCATACATTATATACAGGGGGTGTATATTTACCCCCATACATTATATACACAGTATATACAGGGGGTGTATATTTACCCCCATACAGTATATACACAGTATATACAGGGGGTGTATATTTACCCCATACATTATATACACAGTATATACAGGGGGTGTATATTTACCCCATACATTATATACACAGTATATACAGGGGGTGTATATTTACTCCATACATTATATATATATTTCCCACATACATTACAGGCAGTTCCCATTGATCTCACATTAGATACATAGAACATTATATTTGAACATTTCCTTTGTGTAACTGTATAGGAAGCTCATCATATAACAATAGTCACCTGACTGGCAGCTCCTCCCTGTGTCTCCCAGCACTGTATCCACTACCCCATACATTATATACACAGTATATACAGGGGGTGTATATTTACCCCATACATTATACACACAGTATATACAGGGGGTGTATATTTACCCCATACATTATACACACAGTATACACAGGGGGTGTATATTTACCCCATACATTATATACACAGTATATACAGGGGGTGTATATTTACCCCATACATTATATACACAGTATATACAGGGGGTGTATATTTACCCCATACATTAGTTGCACAGTATATACAGGGGGTGTATATTTACCCCATACATTATATACACAGTATATACAGGGGGTTGTATATTTACCCCACACATTAAATACACAGTATATACAGGGGGTTGTATATTTACCCCACACATTAAATACACAGTATATACGGGGGGTGTATATTTACCCCATACATTATATACACAGTATATACAGGGGGTGTATATTTACCCCATACATTATATACACAGTATATACAGGGGGTGTATATTTACCCCATACATTATATACACAGTATATACAGGGTGTATATTTACCCCATACATTATATACACAGTATATACAGGGGGTGTATATTCACTCCATACATTACATACACAGTATATACAGGGGGTGTATATTTACCCCATACATTATATATATATATTTCCCACATACATTACAGGCAGTTCCCATTGATCTCACATTAGATACATAGAACATTATATTTGAACATTTCCTTTGTGTAACTGTATAGGAAGCTCATCATATAACAATAGTCACCTGACTGGCAGCTCCTCCCTGTGTTTTCCAGCACTGTATCCACTACCCCATACATTATATACACAGTATATACAGGGGGTGTATATTTACCCCCATACATTATATACACAGTATATACAGGGGGTGTATATTTACCCCCATACATTATATACACACAGTATATACAGGGGGTGTATATTTACCCCCATACATTATATACACACAGTATATAAAGGGGGTGTATATTTACCCCATACATTATATACACAGTATATAAAGGGGGTGTATATTTACCCCATACATTATATACACAGTATATACGGGGGTGTATATTTACCCCATACATTATATACACAGTATATACAGGGGGTGTATATTTACCACCATACATTATATACACAGTATTTACAGGGGGGTGTATATTTACCCCCATACATTATATACACAGTATATACAGGGGGTGTATATTTACCCCCCATACATTATATACACAGTATATACAGGGGGTGTATATTTACCCCCATACATTATATACACAGTATATACAGGGGGTGTATATTTTCCCCCCATACATTATACACACAGTATATACAGGGGGTGTATATTTACCCCCATACATTATATACACAGTATATACAGGGGGTGTATATTTACCCCATACATTATATACAGTATATACAGGGGGTGTATATTTACCCCATACATTATATACACAGTATATACAGGGGGTGTATATTTACCCCATACATTATATACACAGTATATACAGGAGGTGTATATTTACCCCATACATTATATACACAGTATATACAGGGGGTGTATATTTACCCCATACATTATATACACAGTATATACAGGGGGTGTATATTTACCCCATACATTCCATACACAGTATATACAGGGGGTGTATATTTACCCCCCATACATTATATACACAGTATATACCCAGGGCTGTATAATATACAATGTACACAGTCTATATACCCAGATAGTTGTATATTTATCACTCACAGCACTATTTACTCCAGATTTGCTGCTCCCTGTGTTGCCCAGCACTGTATCCACTACCTCTTTGTACAGCACTGGATGGGGGGCTTTTCATGTCCCAGTAGTTTTC